CGACTTTCATTAATAAACTACCAATTACCTAACAACGAACTGTTGATTAAAATTACTTTTACTGCTTTCTGTAGAGAATTATACTTTAATTTCTCGTCGTCTGTCAATTTACATTCTGTAATGAGAAACAAATTGGGCAGTTACAAATGTCACTAGTTTGATTTCTTAATAACAAATTTAATAGTATTTCGTGGTTTTCGCTAACAGTGATGATAAAATATACGATACGACGTGCATACAGGTAACAGACAAAACATTCACCATATATAGAAATTACATATTTCTTTGTCGAAATTGTTTCTTTTTATGTCACATGAGCGAAAATGCATAATTTGGAGAACTTGTGGAATAAACAATTTTCATCTAGGTCTGTACGAAAATAAAATAAAAGTATAAAGCAAAAATATTGTATAAAAGGGAGGCAAAAGCAGCGAAAGAGTTAATATAAAAATAGGAGACGAAGAATTAGAAGAATTCGCTAATTTCCAATATCTAGGAAGCCAGATAATTCAGGGTCATGGAAGCAACGATAGAGATATCTCCCAGTTTAGGCTATTTCATACAAACTTTACCACCGCTTTTTATACCCTTGGAGACAGAACTTCTTAAATTAGCGATTTACAAAGCATGATTTCTTGCCTTGCATAGCATTTCTGGCTTTTGTTGACTTGGGGAATCTCCAAGTCTATTATATCTAAATTGGTGGAAGAAGGAGTTTAATTGTACACGCGCATCATACGTTATTTTGCTATTTACACTAAGCATTAAATCATATACAGTAAAAGTTTTTTATTCGCAGGGTATACGTTCCATAAATATGCCGCGAATACAGAAACCGCGGATATGGAATGGTAATTAGTATGGAATCAGAAGGAATACATTGTAAGATTTCAAAATAAAACCAATATGTATCAAAATAAAATCAATTTATTGACAAATTCGCAATTAAAATTAATCGTAATAATCAGCTTTGGGCAAGAGTTTAAAAAAATTTGTTTTTTTGTTTTGAATTTTGAAGTTAGTCCACTCTGTTACATCTTTTATAAAAGTCACCTCGGCATGAGCCAATAGTACTTAAAAGATGCTGATAGGTAGAAAAATAACACCGAATCCTCACTACTCGGTTAGATTGTAGTACACGCACCGTAGAGTAAAAACATGCTTATCGGTTATAGATATCATGAGTTTAATATTTGGAACAGAGGTGTTAAATTTTGTAGTAAGATAGATAAAGGTTTGTTTTAAAGCTTGTCGAAGACCATTTCTTAATTTTTTGATTTATATAGAAAATACGTGCCCTACAAGAAGTAGTGCAATAGAACCTCTTTAAGTCGAAAACCTCCAACACTCGAAAAAATGTTTTCTTCTATTCCCTTCAAGCCCCAAAACCTCCATTACTTGACATCTCAACCCTCTATAACTCGAAAAATTAAATTGGATCTCTGTATCTTGAACATGGCAATGTTTCTTTTATAACCTTTGCAACTCGATAATTTGAAACTTTCTACGTCTATAGTCGAAGAAAACTTTTATTTATTTCACCTCTCTAACTCAAAATTAATAAGACTAAATCTTAACCCTTACAAGTCGAATCAAAATCCGCGTCTGTCAAAATTCGAAACTGTCGATGAAGATTCTAGCTTGCAAGGACAATTTACAGCATTGGTAGTACAGTAGGTTCTCGATAAGTTGGAAATTTCCAAAACNCAACTTTAAGCACTTGTAAAAGCTTTAAATGACTATATTATTTAAAACCAAAAACGTACCGAGTTAGTGTAAACCTTTGTCTGTTAGCATACAAAAAATTAGATGTTTATCTCGCAGCGCTAAATCACAATGTTTAGAATAGAAACCCATGTTTTTGGAAAAATTCATACCAGGCACAAGCGGTCTATTGCGGTCAATCTCCTTAATAAATGACACCGAATCCTTTTCTGTTTACCGATTGCAACCGCGAATAATGAATTTTTAAGCGTGAATACAGGAACTGGGTTCCAATTTTTTCACCCGCGAAAAGGAAGTTTTACTGTGCTGCATGATTTTCTGTTGAAGGTTTATGCCAAAACTTGCTTGCTTTCGTCTTTCATTTTAGAGCATTGCAGACTTGTACCAAAAAGCGAGAATTCTTGCTTTTCGTTAATCTCTCGACAAGAAATCTTGTCTTTTCTAATAGAAATTCTTATATCGGCCTTGTTCTTAGAGCATAAACAAGGTAAGAACAAGAAGTTTGTGAATGACTACTAAAAATCCCTTATTAGTAAGTAAGACAGTTGAATACGCAACATCTGATTTGGCGAAAATTTAGTTCATCACTTTTATATTTTCGAAATTCTCCTAATAAAATTACGCGGAATTGGATTGTCCTTACTTCAACTTAATTTAACGCATCATTCTCGTTATTGCTTTCAGTAGGTACTTAACATACAATAACAGTCTGATTTCATCCATTATAATAGTAACATTGTTTTACTAACAAAGTCTGTTGTTTGCGTAGTGGCGCAATGATTTGAATTGTTTTACAGGTGGGTACTAAGAGCGCTTGAAGTTAACGGACAGCGTTAGAATTACCCGAGGGACATTTCTCGCGACCAGTTCTTAAGAAATCTTGCGTATATGCATAATAATGTGCATTAACGGTATAAATCGAACATTCTTTTTCTCTCGCAATAGTTAGGAAACTGTTCGTCAAGCATGTTTTACAACTCGTAAATATCGAATACGGAAGTGTACAAAACTGAATTAATTCATTATGGTCGTGTCTACACATCTGTTTCCTTTTGTCACATCTTCGTATTAGTTTTTACATTTTCGGATTTATGCTGACCTAATTTTTACACTTATTAGAGACTTAGATGCTTCAAATAAAGATTTCAAAAAGAAATGCGTAGATCAGTGGTTCCGAAATGGTGTTCCGTGGAAGGATCGCGGGAGTTCCGTAAAATACGGAAAGTATACAAAATTTTAACTGTTGTGAACTTTTTCATGGCCAAACCAGTAAAGAAAGATCGAACCTTAATGGGTCATTTTTTGATGGAAATTAAGATACAATAAATTGGATACAATTGTTAATTGGTTCATTCCTGTTTCCCCGGTTTTGTTTGTTTATTTATTATAATTATTGGTAAAGGTCTAGATGATGGCCGAAATGGGTGGGGGGATCGAAAGAAGAGGTCTCCCCCACCACTGTATCATAAAAAGCTCGTCGTGGTCTCACCCCCATAAAAAGTAATGGGGGTTCAAAGTTAATAAAGATGCCAATTTTTATACATTTCTAGGCATATAAATATTTATATAGTCATTCTTAAACAATATTCAAAGGTAAAACTAATGGAAAATACATAAAAATATTGAGAAAGTTATATAAAACATTATTTAAATACCTTTATCAGTAGGTTAGGTTAGGTTAGGTTAGGTTATCGGGTTTTGTTCAAGTGACCACCCTCTTTCGATTCCCCACCTCCACCCGCTTGGAAATAATTATTTTATTGAATTTTATTTGAATTATAGTATATGAAAATTGTCAAAATAATCAACTTTCAACCACCATAACTTTTACGGGGGTGAGACCGCCACGATTTTTTATGGTACAGTGGTGGGGCAGACCTCCCCTTTCCCTCCATCATTTAGACATTTACCTCATTATTATATGCGTAGGAACCCTGCAAAGCAGTCTGACTTTCTAATTGTCGAAATATTGCATTTGGTTTATTTGACCGAAATAAAACGTAATCAGCAGGTCCTTACAGTGAAGTACCATAACTACGGTTACAACTACAGACAAAATATCTTCTGTAACGATAATAAAAAACAAATTTGGGTTCTGGAGTAAATGTGCTCAACGGAAGTTCTCCTCTTCTAAAAAGATTTTCTCAAAGATAATGAGTTACAAGTAACCTCCGATGTAGGTAAAAACCAGAGATGTGATTTATTTAAAATACTTACATTAAAAATGCAAATACAAAATAAAAAATACCTATTATATACTAAACAGTATATAAAATGAATGAAAGTTGCTCACATTGGCCATTGAAGGTATTAGAATCTTAAAAAGAGGACAAAGAGACATTCCATAAATGCTTTCGAATTCTTTAACTAAAGAGAGCCCAAAAAATTCTAAACCCTGTGGAAATGGATAATCTACAATATTGGATCGATATTGTTTTCCGGGTGCAATGTCATGGTCCTTAAAATTTTGAAATTTCAAATTGATATCAGCACCTGCCAAATCACCACTTTTAGTACCTTTAGCAAAGAACTACGAAATTCTTTGAATTACGACAAAACAGCTCGCAAAACAATATCGAATTGATATACACCAGCCATGTAAAACTGAAAATTACAAGATATTGTGGTGTGCTAATAAATGCCTATAATCCAAAATTCTTAGAAAACTATTCGATAAACTTCACTCATCAGATGAATCTAAAGTTAAAGAAACTATGGATTTTATTTCTATCTCTTTTGATTCTGATCTTTTACGCTAAACAGACTATTTTGGCGTCAGTGTCTTTTTTCCAATTAAAATGGGTGATAAAGGCAAATAAGTTGCATTTTGTACTTAAATACTTTTAAAAAATCATTTTGCACATCTCTAGTAAAAACATAAATGAGCATCTATTGAACCTCAAAAAATTCTTGAAAGACTATTTTTCAAAGACGTTACAGGACAGCCACTGACTACAGAATCCATTCACTTTTGCGTTGACTCTATAATTGACTTTTGTATAAAAAAGCCATAGAACCACTAAAATTGATACATTTTTGTATTGTAAATTTTAACTCTAAATAAACTTTTCAAAAATAAAAAAATTCAAAACAGGGAATATTGCAGCTTTTCATATTTTTATAAAGATTAGGTGTAGTTGATGGAACAACTAGTTTTCTTTGTAATAAAATAAAAATTCCTACTGATAATAGTAAAAGCAAAATAATTTCCCAAAATTGGTTAAAATTTCATCTGGTTTATGTATTGTAAGATACCAATGGCGTTTATTTCTTAGAATAGATGGTGAAGATGTCAGACTTATGCTTTGGGACACGGCCGGACAGGAAGAATTCGATGCCATCACCAAGGCCTATTACAGGGGCGCTCAAGCATGTGTTTTAACATTTTCCACCGTTGACAGAGACTCATTTGAAGCAACACATTCTTGGAAACTTAAGGTTCTTATTTACTTATATTTTCTTACTGTTACTGATAACTAAACACACTATCCAACACTTAAAACTTGAAAGAATTGAATTTCCGGATTCTAACCGTGCTTTTTTTTATTAAATCCCCATGGTGGATCAAGTGACGCCACCATGATCCGTCATGGGATTTCAATTCCTTCTTTATTGGGAAATAAAGTGGTAATACCTACCAAGTTACACGTAGAATCGATTTAAGTTTTCATGGCTGAAGAAACCGAATTTTCGGATTCTAAGCTTTACTTATTGATGAAATTCAGATTCTAACTGTGTTCATGGTGACGTCACATGATCTATCATGAAGATTTCACCAATTTCCAACAAGTTTTCTTGTTTGTAATATTGAAAAGAAAATCAAAGTTCTCATATAAATATGTATGTATAATAAAAAACATTGCAATTGTTTTTATAGGTAGAGAATGAATGTGGTGAAATACCGACAGTCATTGTCCAAAATAAAATCGATTTGCTGGATCAATCAGTTGTAAATCCGTAAGTAATTAGTTAATTTTTTTACATTTCTTTGTACCTTTGGATGCAATTTATAAATAACCAAGTATTTAAGTAATTATATTTACTATTAACTAGTTAGGTATGTCAAGTAACAAACGTCTTGTAATTAGATTGTTAAACCTATGCCAATCTAACCATGATTTTAATATCTAACTTATAGATTTTGTTGTAATTTCAGCGAAGAAGCTGAATTGTTAGCAAGAGCATTAGGATGTAGACTTATAAGAACGTCGGTTAAAGAAGATATCAATGTTGCTACAGTCTTTAGGCATTTAGCATCAAGGTGTCTTGAAGAATTGAGAGATTCTGTCAACGATTACTATTATTCGTCAACGAATAACCACAATACAATTACTTTAAGTAAGTAGAATATTAATTAATAACGACAATCATATTGCAGTAAAATGTTCATTCCTTACCTTGTTGTAGTCAACAGAACTATTTGTTACAAAAAGATATTGTTTACACACAAACACACATTTGTACATTGTCTGCACTATAGGATACAAACTCGACGATTTACACTACACAATCATTTTTTATTAAGTTTTATTTGTTAATAAAGTTTCATGGTACACGACACGACACTACCGTTAAACACACGTGTATTGCAACTCTGCAACTTCAGGGTTACGCTTAACAAGTACTTTCTTCACGTCTATTACTTTCCGCAGGGTTAACAACTGTTAGTAAATTAAATGCCCATGTTATAAATAACATAAAATAAAATTTGTAATTTTTAAGGCCTATATATTAATTTCTGTTGGAGATGTCTGTCACGGATACATGAAAAAGCAGAAAAATTAATTATCCATTTTAATAATTAAGTGTTCGTTTAAAAAAGGTAGAAAACTATAAATTATTATTAATACTGGTTTTGCGAGCCGAATTTGCTTTCAAATCAAATAATATACAAAATATGAAAAAGCTTTCTGGATTACCAAAATTGATAAGAACTGCACCAATTATAAATTATGTATGTAATTTTTCTACTCTCTTTTTAACGAAAACTTTCACTACTGCAATAAAATACTTAGGTTATAAAATACTTCTCGTCCAATTGGATGCGTACTGTTGCACTGCGCAACTTACTGTATTTTTTGTTTTAGGTACCTTTAGTCAATCAGTCAAAAAGCCTGTAAAGGAAACAATAGTTTTAAAACCAAACAAACACAAACGAAGAAAAAATGTTTTGAAAAGTGCCTGCCGCCTTTTGTAACGAATGGAACAAAAATTTCTACTTGCCACCCCCTTATAGCAACTAACACCACTCTTTTCTTAGTTATTTGTTTTTTGAACCTTCGATAATGAATGCCAAAGGTGAAGTGCTAATATTATTTATAACACAGGAACTTTTATAAATAATTGTATACATACCTTTTTAATATTTGTGTTAACATGTAGCTTTTTCTTTAAGATAACAAGTATTAGATGTAAGTCTTTTTTTTATAATCTGTTATGCAATAGGAACAAAAATTTCTACTTGCCACCCCCTTATAGCAACTAACACCACTCTTTTCTTAGTTATTTGTTTTTTGAACCTTCGATAATGAATGCCAAAGGTGAAGTGCTAATATTATTTATAACACAGGAACTTTTATAAATAATTGTATACATACCTTTTTAATATTTGTGTTAACATGTAGCTTTTTCTTTAAGATAACAAGTATTAGATGTAAGTCTTTTTTTTATAATCTGTTATGCAATAAGAAAAATACATAAACACTTGTCAAGTCATACAAGAAGATATTTTTTATTTTATANCAATTAATAATAATAAATAAGTATAGTGCGGTTGGGTCTAGGAGGTTAAAAGTTGAGGCTGTTTGACTTTTAATTTGCCTGCAACATTTACATATAATAAAATAATTCTAGAACCGTTTCACAGGTTTTTTCATCTTTTTATGCAATTAATTATTTATGGGAGTTGTTTACAGTCTGAGTGAAGGGCTGAATGAACTGAAGTTCAAAGACTGACTGTTGTGGACAACAAGAATAAGTTCAAAGTTTTAAACAAAAAGGCAGGTTAAGTTTTCTACTACATCGTGGTTCTTCGTCGTACAACAACGTAAGCGTGTGGTTTGTAGTATCGTGGTTATTTGATTCATTGTGAGTAGACAAGCTATTTTTTTTAATTATTTGATATTTACATTCTCGTAAGTGATGTTATAATAAAAACATGAAAGACGTTGTATTAGTGTTAGAAAGTTAAGACTCCGAATTACATGAACAAAGTTAGTGGATATACCGCGTTGCTATGTCCTACAATGCCATTACAAAAGCAAGTTGGTAAGTTAACCTCTAACCTTTACACTACAATTTGACTACAGTTTTAAGTAGATATATGTAGAACATTTTTAGGTTTATGCCTTGTATGTGGGCTTTCCAAGTGTTCTTGTATCTATTTTTTTACTGCTGCATTTAAGAACATTTAAGGTTTTAAGGGTTTTCTATTGGTCCCGATTCTTAATTTTTTTTAATACCATAGTAATACTATTCATTAATTACTGACTTTACAAAAAGGTTTAAATGGAAATACTGAGGCACTTTTTGAATTTTTTACATATTTTAGGCAAGAAATGCTAATTATATGTATATGTGTATAAATAGGTATGTGTAAATATTAATAAGCAAGATTAAGTAGAATGAAATAATGGCGCTAGGTATTTTGTTATAAATTGGCAATTTAGCATGGTTAAAAGCGTCAAAATTTTGTCAGTTTTATTAACTGATAAATGTTATTTAAATAGGCTTTTGTTTAAGTTGTACTTTTCAGATACTTATTCCTTTTTAAATCGAAAAACGTTAACGTCATCAGAGGCACAGCTACTACTGTAGCCGTTTTAGGGTCTTTTTAGCTCGCGGATCCTTAACCAAAATTCATGGTTTCGAAAAAGGGGCCCTTTAAAAAATTTTGGTAATAGGCCCACTCAGGACTAGCTATGCCAATGAAAGTCATTATTATTGTACATTTATGATGAATTACTTTGAAATAAATAATTTTTGGGGTGCCATTAAGCACAGCTTTGTTAAGTTGTGGGACAGTTACCTTTAGAAAGTTTTACAACGGAGCACTGTTTTCTGTAAATATTGACTGGTACATGTCTGTAGAATCAGTCTTGTACATTATTTGTTGCAAATAATTGCCAGGACCTTGTTGTTACATAATAATATTGGTGTGGGATTTTAAGTTCGCAATACATTTCTTTTAGGCTGGTTTGCCCAACTTATAACGAATTATAAATATTAAGTTAAGGTTATGTCCTATCTCTAATATGATAAGGCGTGTGTGACAAGCTGTATATAGAGGGTACTGTGTGATCTGCTGGTGTATGTGAATATTTTCTCTAAATAATAATACTTAGATAGAGTTTTGGTAATTTTTTCGAAACTTCTGTCTTCAAAAAGCATGCAGCAATACATTAATTAATAATATACAAATTAGTCATTTTAGGTAATTGGATTGTAAGTATTTTTTGTCACCCATACGAAAGGCTTGGATTGTAATGGGTACATTTTTTAAAAAGTCAAAGGACGAAATTTGATCGATAAAGACACCGGTATTTCTAGATATAATGAGTTAGTTCTTTGGCTAAAGTGTGACGATATTAAGTTTAATATTAAATATCTAACGTGTATGTCAATTGAAGGCAAAAGTTTGACCAAAACGAGCTACAGTTTGTAAGTAAATTAAATATATAATCACTTGCGAGATTAATAAAAATGACTAGAATAGTAGGATACGTTCAATTGTTGATGTTTGTTGGTTACTTATTCCATTCGCTTCTTCTTGCCGATATAATCAATCATCCTTGCGAATTCTTCCTTTTCATCGGTTCGAATCAGCGTTTCTAAGCAGCCATCGAAATACTGTGTTGAAAAACATCGTGACCTGAAAACATTGATTTGAAATTATTTTATTGTAGTTATTCATAGAGGTGTTGCAGTTTTACTTGACAGATTTTTATTACTATGTACCCTTCAATCTACTAATTTTTCGTTTTCATTTTAATCAATTAAAAAACTTATGAAAACCTGTTATGGGGCCTTTTCATACTGTTATCGGCAGTGGTCCCTTTAAGTCAAGAGATCCAAAAAAACTTTTATTGAAGTCCGGGTTTCGGTCATTAAAGATGAAAAAAAGAATACATTAATATTTTAAAACAGTCGATTCCTACCGTAGGCCTCAATTAAATATGCAAATCAACTCATTTTCAAAAAAATTAACAGGCAAAAATCTTTTACGATATGTTTAAAGTCTAAACTATTAATTTAAAAATTAATAATTCAGTCTATTTAGTATTTTGAATTATAGGCAGACTTGAGGAACTTTTATAAA